TTCCGAAGACGCCTACGGCGAATCACCGCCGCCCCCTGCCTTTGTGGAAGCGCCTCTGTGGCCGAACGTTGAGGCCGGAGCTTGGCCAAGCTATCGGGCCCGTTGTTCCCCGAGTCGGTTTGGAATGACTTCGAGGAACGCGTGGGGGAGCAAGAAGAGGAGGAGGGGGCTGGTGGGACCAAGCTTTCCCCCGACAGCTTGCCTGCAGGGAGGTGCACAGAATCTCCCGCATACCACAGTCGTCTGCAACCAACCTACACCTGTGCCAAAAAGACCTCTCGAGGCATGCCGGGCCCCCGAACATGGCCCGTTGCCTCGTCGTGGCCGGGCCCCCCAAGGCGGGGGCCCGCGGCCCGCCCCCCCCCCGTTCGCCCCACGTCCGCCGCCCGGCCCCCGAGAGAGGGAGCCCGTACCCCCCCCCCCCGTCGCTGCCCCCCCCCCCGCTGCTCCTCGTCGCTGCCCCCACGCCCAGTGACTGCGGCGCGCGTCTTGTTACTGCAGCGTCGCCTGGGTCGAGCACTGGAATGACCCTGCAACCGCCCAACCAGCCTGCTCCCCGACGTCCCACGCAATTGCGGCAGTTGAAATATAATATGTTAACGCAGCGGTTCAGTTCTTGGGTAGATCAATCTCGTAGGGGTGCAGCGACCGGCGGTGGACAAACCTCCCTTTAGTGAACTCCCCTTAGTGAAAACGGCCTGGGACCGAAACCGACGGACCTGGACCCGCAAAAATGACGGCCGCGACGCCCTCTCGCGAACCGGAAACGGCCAATTCCTGAATCGACGTGTCAGGGTAGGAGGTCTGTCCACCTTCGAAGCGATACGGGGCATGGCCCCCGAGAGCGGGGGGACGCGCTGCCCCGCCCCCTCTCCGCGCTGCCCCAGCCGCTGCCCCGCCGTCGTGGCCCGCCGTGGCCCCCCGTCGCTGCCTCCCCTTCCTCCGCGGCCCCCCCGATCAGTGGCCCGCAGCGCTGCGGCTGCAGGGCTGCTTTGAGGCCACTACGGTGAGCCCGTGGGGTGAGGATGCGCGGCACAGGCTTGGCGTCTCTGGTCACTTTGGCGCCCAGATCCCCCCAGACATTGGGTGAAACATCCGATTCGAGTTCCAGATGGTCATTTGTAGTTGGATTGTTTGGTGTTCGAGCTCCAGAAGGGAATATGTAGTTCTGTCGTTTCGCCTTGTGGGTTCCAGACAATCGCGGCAAGTGTTATGTTGTTCCAGTCGTTCTTGCGGAGCACATCCCAGAAATAATCTCGAGCCCCCAGACAAGTGTCGAAACAATGTCCAACGAGTGTCGCCTCCCAGGGCCCGACACGTGAACATCCTCCAATTTCGGTACCTTCCTGGTGCTCGAAATTCTTTCTGGTGATCAAGGCTGCAGTAGGTTGGAGCATCATGAGGCAAGGATGCAGGGGCCCTGGACAGCAGTGCCGACTCTCTGCGAGCGAGGCGCGGCCAGCGGAGGCGGCCAAGAATGGGCCGAAGGGGGAAGGATGCAAGGGTGATCTTCTTCTTTTTTCTGGTTGCGGTTCCCGTTTAGTGTCGTCTTTTGCAGCCGAGGGACGACAGTGATTCGACCGGTTAGATTACCATACTGAGTATACGCGTCCCCCTGTCACAGTCTTCCACCCTTTGACAATCAACATGAGTCGGCACCAGGCTGGATCATCGGCCTCACACGAAAACCTGTAGGCGAAACGAGCCCACAAGAGGGGACCAAAGGGACGGCACAGTGAGCCCTCGAGCAGTTCGCCCTTCAACCAACTTCGCACGAACCAGGGGTGCTCTGACGAGAGCTGCGCTAGTCGCAGCAGAATGTCGAATACGACCGAATCCGCCGGTGCGCTGCGAACTCGCGGCGACAGTAGTTCCACAAGTAGTTGATGAAATTTTTCGACCTCGACCAGCTTGCGCAGGGAGTGATATATGGGCAAATCTCGATTCTCGTCCTTCAGGTGATTGCACAGCTCCGCGACGAAGACAGATTTGCCCCTCATCCTGACAATTTTATCGGTTCGCTCCGTCAGCCAGGCCACAACCTCGGTCTCGAGCGGGCCACCAGTGTTGCCACTCTGCAGGTCGTCGAGCAGCGGCAGAAGAACTTTTATGGCGCCCCTTCGGGCATCGTCCTGTCCGTGGACTTCGATTTGAATGAGCCCATTCAGAGCAGTTTCATCCAATTTCCGGGCGGGCCGAGACAGCACGCGTACAAGCGCCTTCTGTAGGTGGATCTCCTCCTGATCCAGGGCGCGATTCGTCATGTCCCGGAGCAAATGCAAAATTCTGTGGCGGACACCTGCATCCTCTGCCTTTGCTAGCAAGCACCCGAGCGCTCTCACACATCCTTCGCGGATATCCGAGGGCTTCAGAAGACGGTCGAAGCATGGATCTGAAATCTCGTGATGAGAAAATTCTTCCTCCAGACCTGCCCGCGTTTCTGGGTCGATCTTCAGCAGTTCCGTGATCGCCCGCAGTACTGCCGTGTCTTCGCATAAAACGCGGAGCCGTCGTGTCATGCGCAGTCGAGGGATCGCCGAAGGACCAGCCTGCTGCAGTACCAGCTCGCCGACCCCCGAAACGGCTAGAACGGCTTCCAACGTAGCGCTCAAAGGAGCCTGATTAACATGACCGAGATACCTCGACGCCCACAGTAAAGCGCAGCCTTGGCCGCATTGCTGAAGGATGGAATATATCGTGTAATAGCCTGATATTTATACTAGGGCTCTCTGGCGACAGTGTATGCTGTAGATGCTAGACACTCGCCGAATCGGAAAAAACAGAACACACAATCTCGGAGTCTAGTGAACCGGTAAGACGAAAAGGCATTCTCAACAAATCACAAAACAAGAGTACTGGCGGTACTCGACAACAGCCTGTATGCTTGAACCAAAATGGCTTGAGCCAAAATGGCTACGGAAGGGATGCAAGGATGATCTTGGACAAATCGCTCATCCTTACAATGCGTGTCGACTGTATGCCGTAAGGGTGTTATATCGCAAATTGCTATCACACGGTTTGCAGAAGCGCACGGACTCCACAACGGAGCAAGTCAACTGCATCACGGTTGCGTGCCATGCGTCTCCACCACCAGGCATCGCAGTGGTAAGTGGTGAACATGAAATATGAAGCACGCATCGCCACCCAATACTCGTGCCGAACACGTGATCATTCAGATCGCAACAGGTGAGCGCCAATCAAATCGCACTTTGTTGCCTCATGAAAAACACCTTCGCGGCTGACTTCTGTCTCGGCTCGGACCTTTACAACATAAGGAACAGCGTCTCACACTTACGCGCGTCTGCTGGGGCTGGTGTATGCCTCGCGCGGTATAGCGTATACTGGCAGCATGCCACAGCAGTCAAGGGAGGTCAAGTTCCTGCCACTGAAGGCACTGCTTGGAGGAAGAGGATGACGACCAGGGTGGAGGAGGGTATGCCACGCTTCGCCACCAAAACCAATGCAAGGTGCCCGACGCTCAAATCAGAACAAAGCAGAATCCAGGCACCATACCCCGGGTGGTAGGATGCCCTGAGAAGAACTTTAGAATACTAGAGGGGGGGGTGACCAGACAAAGGACCATAACTGACACCATGACGAATCCCACGCGAGAGAACACGGGCGACCATATAAAAGACAATGCAAAGCAAACAAAAAACACGCGTGAACCAATATGGGAGGCCACGCAGGAGAGCATGGGACCATACGGGAGACCGTCGGGCGATCATACGGACCACCGAACCATGAGTTCTGGATCCGGAGGGCCATATGTATCTATGTATGAATATACACAAAAGAATCTAAATCAATAGACCCTCCATGGGGTGGCCCAATTCGCAACCATCCCGGAACACTTTCTGATACCCTCCAAAATCGCTTCCCAGAGGCGGCCCGGAGACGCCAAGGGGGCCCCAAGACGGGACAACAGGGCAATAGAAAGCGCCCAATAGGGTCTAAGAGGCCTCAAAGAAAGCTCAAGAGCTCCAAGACGCCCGCGATGGCCCCAAGACGGCCCAAGAGGCCTCAAACAAGCCCCAAAAGCGCTCAAAGCGGACCCCAAAGAGGGCCCAAAGAGGCAAGCATCAATGACTTTCTTTGTGTTGGTGTATGTTTTGTCGCGTTCTCGCCTTATGAACTTCCGACGTTCCAAGGTGGCCCAGAGGCTCCCAAGACCGACCCAATATGAAATTTCACGCGACCTCCCGCTGCAAACATCCCAGGAAGACTGGACCGTCAAAATCCAGGACGTGCTCGTCAAAAAGCGTCGGCAAGCCCGAATTCTGGCGTACTCGAGTCTTACAGTCAGACCTGGGCCAGAACATCCATCAAGAACATGAGACCCTCTGTCGGCCAAAACACGCACACTATCCTAGGGTACTCCCTCTCGCATGCACTAAGACCATCCAACAAGCATGACGAACACCAGGCGCGTAAAAAATATTTAGAAGGCTCCTAAATGGGGTCGGAGGATCTCACCGCATCGCCGATACATCTGCGATGCATCACCGATGCATCGGCCGTGTACTGGCGGCGTCGGCGATGCATCGGTGGCGTCCGCGCGAAGAACATCGGGCTCCGCATCGAACCGCATCGGCGACGCATCGGCGATGCGCTGCGATCCTCCGACCCCCATCTACTCGGACCCCATCTAGGGGGCCTAGAAGATTGGCATCTGGGCATTCACAAATACCTACTTTCAACGGCCGATGGGAAATGACACCTCCCCGCCTTTGACGACCCCCGGCGCCCCGGAGCCCTGGTGGGGGCTCCAAGCACGGCGAGAAACCTCAGGGCACCTTTCCTTCACTGGATCGAGCGCGCTCCACTGCTCGCAAAAGTAGCTACTCGCGAATCGCCTGGATCCGCCGCGGGGGATCTACGATAAAATAACTTCGAAGCAGACATTTGTCTTTTCGGGCGACTGCGAGTCATCCCATTGCGCTGGCAGTACGACTCAGTTCAGCCAGCCCCCTCCACTCGCCGGTCCGCCGCTGAGGTGCTGCGTGAGGCTCCGCCTAGCCGCTTTAGGTGAGGCTGCGCCCCGTTGCTTCAGGTGAATTTGTCGCTGCGTGCCCCGCTTTGACTGGACTCGCCGCTGGCGCGCTCGCCTGCGGCCGCTGACTAAAAAGTAATCCCATTGCGAGCAGTGGAACGCGCCCGGTGATTCACGGAACCCTTCTATCTTCACGGCGCCCCGTGGCCCTGGCGAGGGGGGGGGCTCGAGCACGGCGAGAAACCTCCCGGGCCCCTTCCCTTCACGCGGAGCCCTCTCTTACCGGGCGCCGGGCGAAAGGGGGGGGATAGCAAAGGGGGGGGGGTGAGAATCAGCTCACGCAGCTGTTTTCCCCGGCGCCTCCCGGCGCCAGGAGGCGCCCATGCATCGAGGAGTGGGCCCGGCGGCGGGGCCAGAACCAGCTGCATGCAGCAGATTTCGTACCCCTCCCTTTCCCTATCCCGCCCTTTCGTTCGGCCCGATCTTATCCTCACGGCGACCCCTGCGCCTGGACTGGATGCCCTCGAGCCGGAAGAGGCGGCGGCGGCGGCGCCTCCCCGACGCCCCCCCCACCCCCAAGAGAGAGAGCGAGATCTCAGAGAACCCCTGAGGACCTCGCTCCTCGAACTGGCTTCGGGGCAAGTCGCCGTCTCGGTGGGTCAGAGATGGAGTCCTGAAGGATGGGGTCCTACGGATGAGGTGCCTGTCGCAGCGCAAATCCACCCTGGGATCCTTTCCTATCCTTGGGTCCCCATTCCTCAAAGCCCCATCTTTGGGGAAACCCAGAGGTACCGATACTGCTATTCCCTGGACTTCTTCCCGGGTGCGTTCTGACCAGGATTTCAAGGCGAATCCAGCGGTGGCGACGCGGCCCTCCCAGGAGGTCCAAAAAGAGATGACAAAACAAACAAAGGGAAGGTATCACCCCTTCCGTCTCTGACCGCAGGTCCCCATCCCGCAGGACCACATCGTTGAACCACCGACCGTCTGCTGGCAAGACTTCTATACATACCCAGTGCGATTAGGACTTTCTTGGCAGGGGCGCCACAGGGCCAAGGCACACTGGATGTGGTTGGAAATCGAGCCTCTGGGGGGCAAGTCGTCGATCCATATCCAGTGCGCCTTGGCTTTCTGGGGAAGGGAGCCCGAAACTGCTTTTGGCAGTGGGTACGGACAAAAATATTGCCCACATCGTCGTCCCAAAGTCGCCTGCCGCCAGGGCCATGCTTTCTGGTGTCGAAGATGTCCACCGCCACGCCCCGCCACGCCCCGCCTCGCCGTCGTCGCCGCCGTCGCCGCCGTCGCCGTCGCCGTCGTCGTCGCCGTCGCCGTCGCCGTCGCCGTCGCCGTCGCCGTCGTCGCCGCCGTCGTCGCCGCCGCGGTGGTCGTCGTCGCCGCCTGCCGCCAGGGCCGCGCTTCCCCGTGTCGAAGATGTCCACCGCCACGCCCCGCCGCTTCAGGGACCACCCGCACGCCAGGCCTGCAGCCCCCCGCGCACAGGGCGGCCGCGCGGGCGCCGCCCCTGCCGCCGCCGCCAGCGGCGCCACCGTCGTCGTGCGATTCTCGCCGCCGCCGTCGCCGCCGCCGTCAACGGCGCCGTCCGCCGCAGCTCGGTGGCCGCCGCCACCACCGCCGCCGCTGCGGTGGCTCGAGGCTCCAGGGCGGCGCTCCTAGCAGGAGGAGCAGGAGGAGGAGGAGGAGGAGGAGGAGGAGGAGGAGGAGGAGGAGCTGGGCGTCTCCTTGCCCTTGGGGGCGCCCTCCCCGGGCGCCCTCGTGGCCACGGTCGGATCTGCCTGGAGGCTCTGGTCCCCCAGGAGAGATCTGGGGGTCGTCGTCGACGTCGCCATGCCTCTCAGGGACCTTGTTGGTGCCCCTCGGAGGCCCCTGTTGAGGGTCTCTGGGCGTCTTTGGGGCAGTCTGGGTGGATACTGGAGGGTCGACGGGTCGGGACTGCTTGCAGTGCCTTTTCGGAATATCTTCGGACCGACCCCAGATGTTTCGAAGGGTCGCGAGCGAGGGGGCGGGGGGGGCATGGGGATGAGCAAGAGCAGCTGGGGGGGCTTGAGAAGGCGGAGTAGCGACATGGGGTGGGAAAAGAGGGGATTGGTAGGGAAGGAGGAGATGATTGTGATGACAATTCGCCGCACCAGCGAGACGATTGCGTGCCAGAATCGCCTTGAAAGGGCTTCTCAGTGCTTGGAAACTGCCCGTTCGAATGCGTGTGGCGGGCGACCCATGGAGGTATGGAAATGGGCACCTACACCAACACAGGGGGTTGCACCCCCCAGAGGAAGATGATCCTAGATTTTGGTGGAGGTGGTGGTAATCTTGCATCCGCCTAAGAGACCCGAGTATTACCACCATCGCCGAAATCGAGATCACTCTCCTCGGTGGAGGCACACGCACCGCCGATGTTGGTGTTGTTGTCATCCTCTAGGCCTCGGGTCGTAACGACCGGCGCGTTGATTCCTGACACGGCCCGTTGATCGTTCATCATAGCTAGATTCGCGGCTTCTCGGTCGCCAT